TGGCGTTTTCTGAGTCCTGAGCAGAATCGGCACCAGAAAGGTCAAGATTACAAAATTGACGACTGCCTTGCAGGAGAGCAGATAGCCGGCAGATACGAACGTCCACTGGTATCTCTTGGAGATGTACTGGGCGAGCAGCTTGGTATCCGAACTCGCCCAGGCTGTAAGGAAGAAGGTCGTCAAAAGGAGACCGAGATTCCTGGGATGGCTCTTCACAACGGCGAGGAGTGTATGCAAACGCCCCACTATCGCCGTCACGAAAGACGCACCAGAAGCCTGCGCCTTCAAGATCGGCGAAGAGATAAGCGGACGTCGCTGCTCATCCTCTGTCTCCTCGGCGGTATTTGCGAGTCCAGGCAGCAAGTAGATGGTGGGCACGGCCAAGACGAGAAGCGCGAGGCCTATCCAGAACGGGAGAAAGAGACGGACGGCCATGGTGGCAGCGGCGACCGCAGGGCCCAGGAAACCGATGACCGAGGACAAGGCCGTCATCCAGCTGAAGTACGTGGCTCTTCGTGGGCAAGGTCAGTTGGCATTTTACGAGTTGTCGGGATGTCTCACCGAGTCACCGAGTCCTCTGTCATGCTCGCCGCCAGAGAGTAGGTGAGCGAGTTGAACAAGGTGTCGCCGGCGCCTAGAAGTGCCAGAGCAGACCCGGCGATGACGGCCGACGGCGGGAGACTCTCGCCGGAGTAGCCCACGACCAGAACCCAGGAGAGCATAAAGAAACGCGAGGCCATGTTGAGCCAGAGCACGGCTCTCCGTCCGTATTTCTCAGCCAGAAAGCTCAGCGGTATGGTCATGACGAAGTCTGGACCCACGTTAGACGACGCGGTTGCCAGAGCGGAATCACGTCGTTCCTCGCAGAGGCGGATCACCCACCTCCGGCAACCCACAGGGTCTCTACGGCACCCATGAGGCGGGCGAGGTTCTGCTGGACCTCGTCGACCTTGCATAGATCCTCGCTGACATCGTGATGTACGTCATAGTAGCTGCGACACAGACGCGTCTCCAGCAGTCGGTTGAGAGGCAGGTTGGTAAGGCCGGTTGTGAGATTGACTAGAAGCAGAAGCACCAGCAAGGGCATGATCGTGGCGCCCGTTTCACGCCTGTAACGAGGAGCCACGCTGTCGCCAGGGACATGACAATCCAGGTCATCGCCGCCGTCCATGCCTTTGGCGCTCACGAGTCGGCTTGTGATTGATATGTAACCGGTAGATATATTTGATGCGGCCTGTGGCCGGAATATCGCGGGTGCGCGCAGTGCGGGGACACGACGGGATTGGCCTCAGATACTCCGTATCGGCCCAGTTGATTACATCCGTCTCCCGTTATAAGCATTTCTACGCTACAGTGAGCATGCTTCCATTATTACTCTAAAGACCATGATGGACTGTCCCAGGTCGCACTTGTCAACACGGCGCTCTTCGCGTGACACAGCAACGGGAGCGTCCCCATCTGGGACACACATTCCCACGTGGGACGGTCTTTGAGATGAGTGGATTGGCCACAAGCATGTACCAACCGGGTTGCATCTCAGAGACCACGCTCGAGCACACGCCTCAAGCGTTCTAATGGCCAAACGACGACGCCCAGCCCGTTGCCGGCTGGAGGCAGAACAAGGTCCTGCGCATACTCCTCAAGACCGGTTCTGCCCGCGTCGAAATGAAGGCGACCGTGGCGTTGGTCGGCGTCGCGAATCCGTATTCGAGACCCATTTTCGCGCCTGCCCGTCGTGTCTGACAGGGACAGAGTTCGCTAGCAGATGGTGGCTCACGGGAGCAGATGGCGCTTCAACACGAGCACGAACGCCCGGCAGCGATGTGCTGCGGGCCAGTTGTAACATGACGAAACCTGGTTTACATACAGGATCATATTGACAAGACAGAAGATGCGAAGCACTACAATACAAATTTCCTGTCTGCTCAGTCCAGCACACCATATGCAATCGGTCTCACCCATTTCGAATCTGGCCGGTCCTTATGAGATCACTCAGGCACCTAACATACATAAAGTACACCAGACATCAACAACGCCCAAAGGCATTGTTTAACCACGTCCATCCGCGGGACGTATTGGATCACGTCGCCCGCGGCCCAAGCACGCGTGGAGGCCATCTGTTGTTCCCTCAACCCATTCGTAGGATATACGTCGAATCATATCGTCCGACTTCACTGAGCCCACGCCCAGAGACTCGCCAGCGTAAGAGCCACGCCCAGCAGCAGCAGCCCATCCGTGGGGGCCCTCCGCGCGGCATCCGACTCGGACCCGAGCCCCGCGTCCCGGCTCCCGTCCGCGGTTTGCTTTCCCCCACTCGCCGCCTCGTCATCACCATCCGCAGTCCCCGTCGCCGCAGCCTCCTCATACTCCGGGTCCCGCTCGTAGCCATTGGACGCGACGACGACGGTGCGGAACGTCTCGCCGCGCCACTCGCCGTCGTTCCGCGCGTCCGAAGGGCCGAGCAGCTCGGCCGCCGCGTCCGGGCTCGCGCCCCACAGCGAGCAGCGGAAGTCGACGAGCGCGGGCGGGTCGTCGCAGCTGCAGCCGCCCGGGTTGAGCGCCGGCACGCGCTCGACCCACACGTCGAAGGCGCCGCACCCCCCGCCAGCCGGTCCACTGTTGTTGTCATTGCACAGGTCCGCACACTCGCTCGCGTCGTAGCTGCGCAGCAAGTGCAAGCCCAGGTAGGGCCGGCGGTTGGTGCTGTTGAGGCCGCCGATCGTCGCGTTGAGGTCCCGGAACCGCTCCGTGTACCCCGGCGGCGCGGCCGCCGCCGAGGCCGCCGAGTGGAACGGCGCGTGCGCCGCGAAGGCGGAGACCGTGTCTGGCGTGAAGACGCCGCCGAAGCCTGTTGGGCGAGGAGGAAAAGCCGGAGCGCGTGGGTGAGAGTGGCTCAAGGTCAGCACGTGGGCAAGTGAACTTCAAAAGGTAAGGTACCGACTGGGAAGTGGCGCGGTGGCTTGGTCAGATGAATACGAAGGCGAAGGGGCTGGACGAGCAACGTGCCCGGGGTTTGGATTCTTCCCAAGCGGAATGAAGAAGCGCCGGAGCGGGCATGCATCGTCGCTGGATCGTGGAAAGAGACGGAGGGGCAGGCTAGGAGAGGGGAGAATGTGCCATGTATGCGTGCATGGATCACGCATATGTGAGTGCGCACTCACCACCGGGCTGCGGCGCGCAGGGGTCCAAGGGATTGACGAAGCCGCAGTACGTGCCGACCTCGTACGGCGTCGGGCAGGCCGGGTCCGTGGTGAGGGTATCGGTGTTGGTCCAGCCGTCCTGCCGCGCGCGTCGCTCAGGTCAGTCGGTCAGTCAGTCAGTGACACACATATCAAAGCCTCTGGCTATCCCATCGTGGTTTTTTTTTCGCTGCAGCTTCGTTCTTCCCCCTCGGGAACGTGAATAGGGGAAGGCGGGGGGATGCGATGGGTCACATACGAGGGGAGTACAGCTCGTCGTCGGCGTTGTCGTCGTCGTTGTCGTCGTCGTCGGGGGCGGCGGCGGCGGCGGCGGCGGAGGTGACGTCTGACTGGTTGTCTCGTCGGAGCAGGGCGCGGTCACCGTCACCGTCTCGTCGGCTTCGTTGCGGTGATGGATTGTGTGCACCGGAGCACGCGTCTGCAGGACAGCTGCTGCTGCACCGCCACCGACGACGGTCGACGACGAGGTGACGGCGCACGCGCCGGTGGCAGCTGCGAGGAGGAGGATGACGAGGGTCATGACCGCGACTGTGGACGGTCCGGTGGTTGGAGGGGCAGTATCTACGGCACGTAGTTGGCGGGAGGGCACTTTGGGGAAGGAGAAACGCGGAGATCACTCCGGGATTCGAGAAGGCTTGTGTCTGTCAATACCTATATATGATACTTATACATTGACCTAGCTCTCGTGATGGTTTCCTCGGGTGAGCACCGCGGCCTCGACCATCAGCCTCTGGTGCATGGAGGCTTGGTCACCCGATATCCTGGCGGGCAGGTTAGTCAGAGACACGCGCATCAAAGTGAGTAGGGCAACCGGGGATACGAAAGGCTCGAAGCATGCTGTCAGTGGTAGCTCAGGTGGTCTGGCAGGAAACGACATAGGTGGGTAGGTAGTAGACTCGACGACCCATCTATGAGACTATGACACGGGCGACCGCATACGGCAGCAAGTGAATAGGTAGTCTCCAAGAGCTGGCCTAGCATCGAGCTGCTGGATTATACGGGGCGCGTGGAACTAACACGTGCTCTGGCACCGATGAGACTTCGTGGCTGTCGGTAGGGGAGAGAGCCATTCGACAAGCAGCGATCGAGGCCGGTCGCAGAGCCCGGCGGCGTAATACACGGTAAGGCTGAAAGCGTGTCGCCGCGATTCTAGATGCAAGCTACTACTAATAGTAGTTTCCGTGAGATGCGTGGCGCGCCGTGCCGGCGGCTCGCGCAGACGCCCGCCTAGGTACAAGTTGCGGTAAGTTATAAGCCGCACAGCTCGGCTCGGCTTTAGCTACTGTAGGAAGGGGAAAACTCCCTAGATCACCGCTAGAAGCCCACAAAGTCTGCGAGAATACGAACCAGGGCAGAACAGTAGTACTAGACGACTCTGCTCGCCAGCTAGGAGAGGGGGCTCATTCGATGGGGACTCAAGTCCTGATCGGACGATAAAAGGGGATTATCAGTACATCTACCGTCAATTGGAAGGCACACCAGAGCACGCAAAGCGTACCTGACCTATGCACAATTTGCTGCAATGATACAGCCGCTTCCACGGCAGCCAACGCACCTCTTAATTTACGTGAATCAGTGGGAGGGAGGCGCTGAGAGAATAGAATACGCAATTGCTGGCGCCAAACTCCGTATTAGCGTAGGCTAACGGGAATACACTCTGAATCAGGTATGCTGCGGAGAGACACGAATGAAGCATGAAAGATGAATTTGAAGAGAAGGAAATACTCGTCAACTGAAAGGGCAGAATAGATTCACGGTTACGGCGCTGGTTTGGGTCTCATCGCAGAAATGCAAAAGTAGTGTCCTGGGTGAGACTCGAACTCACGACCTTCGGATGACCCAGGCATTTTTGAGATGCCAAGTCATAGAACCGATCTATGAGACCGACGCTCTAACCAACTGAGCCACCAAGACAGCTAGTCAAACTCCAATGAATTGGACGAATGGATGATGAGGAAGCTTGTTATGCTGCCCCATATTCACCGATGGTGGGGTAAGCTTGAATTTTCCCCTGGAATCAGGGCCGCCCGACCGACGAATGGCGGATCGGCCCGGGGCCGGGATCTTAACCACACAGCACACAAAGCCCACGCGGAGCAGGCGACGGCCTATACCTACTGCTCTCGAGCCAGCCCATGTCTCGAGTAGGACGTGCAGGTGTATTGCCACAAGGCTGATCATAGCTATGGTATCACCTAGGTCAACATATCGGTACCGGTATGCCTGTCTTGCTCTGTCATCAAGCTGCAATTCCTCCCGATGAATGCCTTGCCTCTGTCTGCCGGGGTCACGCACCTATCCGAGGGTGAGTATTAAGGGCCATACAGCCATAGTCCGGCTGGTACTTCTGCACCTCTGCGTCCGGACCCGGACCCGGACCCGGGCCCGGACACCTCAGGCGGCCTCAATACTGGTACGTGGACTGGACTCGCTTGAGTGATTGGACAAGATCTCGACGGGTCCTCCTGAGGTCGTGCCGTGCCGTATCTACGGTACCGAGTCCTGCGTGTGCGTCTTCATCATGAGCGCAACATTTTCGTCTCACGCACGTGCCATACGACGGGCACAGCGCCTAGGTATTTGATCTCCGAGAAGCTCCCCATCCCCTTACTCTCCAGTGTCAAGCCGGCTCCATATTCTCGTTCGCGAACTCTCACCAGCTCCGCCGTGCCCATCGCAAATCTGGACATCGCCGTCCCGCCCGACGAGCCACCTGACTACTGACCTAGATAAGCAGCTTCAACGGCGGTGGCCGGAGACACCACCAACAACAACAGCAGCAGTAGCAGCAGCAGCAGAAGCAACGACGGCTGCGGTGACGCCAACAAACGCATTCCCCATACATGCGTATCATGCGAAAGAAAGCGTGCTGTGTCGCACGCTATGCCGTCCTTGGCCAATGCATCGTCCATGTGAGAGAAGAAAAAAGGCAATGGCCACAGCTGCCAAGAGCTGCAGGCCACTAAAAGAAGAGAAAAAGCACCTTGGAGGGACTGTATCCATGGAGTCAATTGGCCAAAGATCAGTCGCCAGGGCATGCGCTCCGAAGATGGCCAGTGAGAATCGCAAAACGTCCCGGCTGGAGCACCTAGGAAATACCACTACTGCTGCTGCTTCTTCTGCTTCTTCTGCTTCTTCTGCTTCTTCTGCTTCTTCTGCTTCTTCTGCTTCTTCTGCTTCTTCTGCTTCTTCTGCTTCTTCTGCTTCTTCTGCTTCTTCTGCTTCTTCTGCTTCTTCTGCTTCTTCTGCTTCTTCTGCTTCTTCTGCTTCTTCTGCTTCTTCTGCTTCTTCTGCTTCTTCTGCTTCTTCTGCTTCTTCTGCTTCTTCTGCTTCTTCTGCTTCTTTTTTGCATGGAGAAAGGCGAGATTCCACATTAAGCTCGAATAGAACGCCCGATGAATGCTGCACTTTACTCTTTCGAGAACTAATATCATCACTCTCTCAAGCTTAGGAGAGGAGAGGTCGAGGCGCCGGGGGCGCTGGTGATGAGATTGGTGTGTCCCGCGTGGAGCAGTCGATTCGTGTGGCTCTTACTCATGCCACGCCGATGCCTATAAACGCTCAATACTAGGGAATAGTCTTCTCTTCGAATGAAAACAGCCACTCAGCAGGCTCCCATCCGACTGGAGTATGGCTATGGACGACACGTGAGATTCTGCACTGTGCCCCGGTTAAGCTTGGGGTTCTGGCGGCGTAGGGCCATATCCTGAGGCGTCGCCTTGAGGGGCTGGCCATAATTGAAATCCTGGCCATCGAGTGCCGTGGCGATGAGGCGCGCGTTGCTCTTTCCTTTGTCCACCGGCATGATTGGCGATTGGCCGGTAGAGAGGTGCCCAGGCAAAGGGAATGGTACAATTTGATGGCGGCGATTGGCCGGTTGAGAGGTGCGCAGTCAAAGGGAATGGCGCCACCCATACTCCGCTGGGTGGCTGCATTGCTTGCTGATCAAGAATTCTGACCAAGGTGTTCAAAGTTCCCGAACCACCTGTATCGCCTGATCAGCAGGCTCAGCGTGAGGCTCAGGAGCTAAGCAATGATCTTCTTCAGAAGATCTTGGATGCGCAACTGGTGATCTCCCAGAAGCTGACTGAGATGATGCACGGCCGGGGAGCAGAGATTGTGTGTTTCTTGATGGGGAACTGCACGTCTGGCCAACCTGACCCTCATGCAATACAACACAGCCGAGAGGCCGAGCGTGCCGGTCATCTGGATGGAGTCAGACAAGCACGTGCAGCACGAGCGTGCTAGACTCACTTTATCACACTCCCTGCGCTGCACTTGGCAGCGCTCACACTTGTTCGACGATCCTATGGCGGGTTATCACGCGAAGGCCACTGACGTTCCATGGGTAGGTAGGTAGTTGGCTTACCTGGGGCTTTCACGCAGGCAATGCGTTTAGGGTCGTTCTTCTAGTTCGACGCAGTCGCAAGGCAGCGGTAGCAGGGATGCTCGAGGGTATAACTGTCCGCATCCTCCAGCTTATAGGGACTCACGTCGAACGTATTCTGGCGAGAGGGTCTCTTCGGGGCGCTGCCCTGGACCTCGGAGCTTGCCTTTCGCTTGTTATCGGGAGTCTTGGGGGCTTCGGCGGCGCCCCCCAAGCCTGCTCCACTGGTCGCCATATTGCAGTCGGTACCTAAGGTAGGTAGGTACCAGTGGGAATGCGATTAGGACGAGGCGTTAGCGAAGTCCCCGCGAGGACACAAGTGGAGGGACGCCGGATCCGCCGTTATCGTTCGCGAAGGCATATCTCCTGTGCCAGCGAACCGCCGGCGCTGCGCTGGCACAGGGCGTAGTGAGGTTGAAGATGGAGAGTTGATGGTACAATTGCCAGAGCGGAGGAATTGCTTAAATACCCAGCTAGGTAGGACGACGGACAATACAGAGCTTGTGCCAGCGTGCCCATGATCTTCCAGCTCATAGGCCTGATGACACGCCTTATCGAGATTGGAAAGCAACTCGAGGCCGAGCTGCGTCAGACCGAAGATCTATCACGCACAAGAGTCAGCAGCAGCGTACATGGCCAACCGAGCAACTCGCGGAAGTTAGAGAAGTTAGAGAAGTTAGAGAAGTTAGAGAAGTTAGAGAAGTTAGAGAAGTTAGAGAAGTTAGAGATGTTAGAGATGTTAGAGAAGTTAGAGAAGTTAGAGAAGTTAGAGAAGTTAGAGAAGTTAGAGAAGTTAGAGAAGTTAGAGAAGTTAGAGAAGTTAGAGAAGTTAGAGAAGTTAGAGAAGTTAGAGAAGTTAGAGAAGTTAGAGAAGAAAGAGAAGAAAGAGAAGAAAGAGAAGAAAGAGAAGAAAGAGAAGAAAGAGAAGAAAGAGAAGAAAGAGAAGAAAGAGAAGAAAGAGAAGAAAGAGAAGAAAGAGAAGAAAGAGAAGAAAGAGAAGAAAGAGAAGAAAGAGAAGAAAGAGAAGAAAGAGAAGAAAGAGAAGAATTTATAGAGGGGCTGCGTTCCTACCTATCCACTGTAATAGTATTCAATAGCCATACCCACTGTCATCCCGTCCCCGAGTCTTAGGTGAATGTCTCATCCATGACAGCGGGATTACACGTGCTAGAAGCCTCTCGTGGAGGTCTGTTAAGGGGGAACGTATGGAAACAGCAGGGACTTCATTGCCATCTCGCACGACAGGTCGTCATTGGCCAATGCATCGTCCATGTGAGAGATTAAAGAAGGCAGTTGCCACAGCTGCCAAAGGCTTCAGGCCACTGGAAGAATAGCCCCCGGCTTTCAAATCTTTGATCTACTTCTGAAGTTGACGACGCTCAGCAGTGTCAGAGGCGACCTGGTTGGTCAGTCTGTCAACCTCGTGCTGAAGCGCGTTCTAACGAATTTAAGGCTTTCAATCTCGTGCTGAAGCGTAGTGATCTGGGCCGTAGAGCTTGACGATGTAGGACCGGGTTGTCCTTGCAAGAAGATCGTCAGTGTCTGGTTAAGGTCCGCTAGCAATCGGTTGGCTGGAGTTGACCACGATGGTCTCCTCCCCGATTCTCAGTGCGATGTTGCCCGGCTCTACAGCGGGAAGCAGTTCGGGCCATCTAGGTAGGTATGCGTAGTCCATCACGAACTTCCCTCCTTGCTCGTCTTTCGTGACCTCGCTCAGGGTGACAACATTGGTCGGGGAAGTAGTTGTCGCGGACCCCTAAGGGGCCACCGTCTGCTCAAGTACCTTCAGTGACTCCGTCACAGCATTCTTCAGGGGCGACAAGTCCTGCTTTGGGACAGGAACCGTTTCTCGATCATCCGCAATGAGCCGAGACATTTGCCACGGTCCGATTGAACCTCTCCAGAGGTCACGCCAGGTGTGAACCAGTTCTAGCATCAGGTCCAATTTCTCGCAGTGAACCCAGGCTATTCGCAGAGGACAGGAACCTGTATCCATGGAGTCTCCTGGCCAAAGACCAGTCGCCAGGGCATGCGCGCCGAAGATGGCTAGTGAGAATCGCAAGACGCCCCGGCTGGATTACCTAAGGTAGGGAAAATTAATTCTGCTTCTTCTGCTTCTTCTGCTTCTCCTGCTTCTCTTGCTTCTCTTGCTTCTCTTGCTTCTCTTGCTTCTCTTGCTTCTCCTGCTTCTCCTGCTTCTCCTGCTTCTCCTGCTTCTCCTGCTTCTCCTGCTTCTCCTGCTTCTCCTGCTTCTCCTGCTTCTCCTGCTTCTCCTGCTTCTCCTGCTTCTCCTGCTTCTCCTGCTTCTCCTGCTTCTCCTGCTTCTCCTGCTTCTCCTGCTTCTCCTGCTTCTCCTGCTGCTCCTGCTGCTCCTGCTGCTCCTGCTGCACCTGCTGCACCTGCTGCACCTGCTGCACCTGCTGCTCCTGCTGCTCCTGCTACTTCTCCGCGTGTTCCTTCGTAAAGGCGCGTTTCCACATCAAGCTCGGGCAAGACTGGCAAGGCCCAGGTCGAGTTGAGCCATGCG